CTTGCAAAGTACCAAAGAAGCTGCAGACCAAGGAAGTCGTGCTCGCAGCGGTGCGGCAGGACAGCTGGGCCCTCAAGCACGCGTCGGACGCGCTGAAGGCCGATAAAGAGGTCGTGCTCGTGGCGGTGCAGCAGCAGCAGCTGCAGAACGGCCGGGCCCTCCGATACGCGTCGAAGGAGCTTCGGGCCGACAAGAAGGTCGTGCTCGCGGCGGTGCAGAAGAGCGGCGGAGCCCTCCAGTACGCGTCGGACGCGCTGAAGGGCGACAAAGAGGTCGTGTTTGCGGCGGTGCAGCAGGACGGCTGGGCCCTCCATTACGCGTCGGACGTGCTCAAGGCCGAGAAAGAAGTCGCGCTCGCGGCGGTGCGGCGGGACGGCGAAGCCCTCCAGTACGCGTCGGACGCGCTGCGGGCCGATAAGGAGATCGTGCTCGCGGCGGTGCGGCAGGACGGCATGGCCCTCGTGTACGCGTCGGAGGCATTGGCAGCAACAAAAGAGATCGTCCGCGCGGCGGTGCGCCAGAATGTCGACGCCATCGAAGATGTTCCAAAGGAAACACTCGCATCATTTTTAGACGCGAACGACGCGAACGAGGCCATCATCGCCGCGTTGCGCGCGGAGCTCGCGCGGCGTCCCGATATGGTGCAGGTCCTGGACGTCGACACGGGAGAGACGACGGACGAACCGGCGCCCAAGCGCGCGCGTACGGAGGTGACGACGAGCGGCATCAAGGTTCTCGCGGAAAACGCGCAAGCTACGAACGTCCTTCTCGCCAAGGTCAAAGACGAGAAGCGCGACGCCGAGGAAGGCCGAGGCGCCGCGGAACGGCGCGCGGAGGACGCGGAGGACCGCACCAAATGCGTCTCCTGCATGGTGAGCGACCTTCAGGTCTGCTTCATGCCCTGTAGCCACCTGTGTGTCTGCTCGGGCTGCGCCGACGAGATCATGAGCAGAGGTGGGTTGTGCCCAATCTGCCGCGGGCCGATCCGCGAGCGCCTCACGGTCTTCATCTCCGGCGCTGGCTGACGCGCAGGACCTCTCGAGCGACCGGACTCGCACCGTCGACGCGCTCCAGACGAAAGAGCGGCGCGGACCCCCGCGCGATCAAGGAGCGAAAGAACGTGTAACATGTGTGTGTGTGATCTTAATGAGAGCGCGACCCTACCGGCTAGTACCGCCCCTCGATGGCGTCCGCCGCGGGCGGCGCGCCGAGCCCGGCGGCTTTCCGCTTCTGGTAGGTCAACTCGCGCTTGATGAGGCACAGCGTGCAGGGTAAGGTGCAGGGTAAAGACATCTGCCACTTGCAGTCGCTGCACGGGCCCCTCGGCCCTCCGGGGGCGTTGGTGCTGGGGTCGCCGCAGGTGGAGTCGCCGCAGGGGCCGGGGTAGAGGAGATTGTACTGCTGCACCGTCCGGTCCAAGACCGCCGAATACCAGCAGCACCAGACGTACTTCCTGCCGCAGGGGCAGTCGCAGAGCGCGTTGCAGCAGATGGGGAAGCCGTAGATCGAGAGGTTCGAGAGGCACACGACGCAGAACGGCCCGAGGCCGACGTGCGTCTCGCGGAGGCCGAGCTCCGCGCCGACGCCGCACTGCTCGCCCTCGCAGCAGACGACGCACGGCTGGAACCAGAACACGCAGCAGCAGCCGAGGCAGTCGTCGAAGCAGTCGAAGGTGCCCGAATGGAAGGGCTGCGCCGGCCCCAGCGGCGGCGCGACGCTCTGGATGCCCGCGACGCCGTGGATCTGGACGCTCGCCGGGTTGACGATCTGCGGCTGCTGGACGACGTATTGGTTGGGCACCATCTGCGGCTGCTGGACGACGGAACCTTGGACCACGGCGCCTTGAATCACCTGAGGCTGCACGACGACNGGCTGTCCCTGGATGACTGCGCCTTGCACGGGCTGCCCGCCATAGGCCGGCGCGCCCTGGATGACTCCGCCTTGCACGGGCTGCCCGCCATAAGCCGGCGCGCCTGCGAATAAGGGCGCAGAGGGCTGCTTCATGGTGCGCGAGGACCGGTGGCGCAGCGGGGATCGAGAGCGTCACGAGCACGTCAACGTGACCTCGATGAACCCAGGCTGCAAAGCAATGGCTTGAGATCTAGAGTTGCTGGACGCTGGTTTGAGAGCCGCCAAGTCGACGCCGGGATGCGAGCCGCGCTGCCTACACCTTCTTCTTCTTGCAAGCGCGCCGCCGCCGCCGACGCCGGCTTGCGCGCTCCGCCGCGCGATGAGCCGCCGAGCAGTGCTCCTGGCGCTCGCGCTTGCGACGACCTCCGCCCTCCAGCGCCTGCACGTCGTCGGCGAGACGAGTCGCTGGGTCGTCGTCGACAAGCCGAGCGGCGTGCCCTGCCACGCGAGCGACAAGGGCGACGGCGTGCTGACGCTGCTGCGCCGCGACGCGGTCGAGCGCGGCGAGCGCGACGCGGCCGTCGCCGAGTACCGGCTCGTCCATCGCCTCGACGACGGCACGTCCGGCTGCCTCGCCATCGCGAAGGATAGGGAAACGGCGACCCTCCTCGGCGCCGCGTTCCGCGAGCGGCGCGCGCGCAAGGCCTACGTGGGCCTCACCGACAAAACGCCGAAAAAAAAGCAGGGCGTCGTCGCGGGCGACCTCGTCAAGGCGCGGCGCGGCGCGTTCAAGCTCGCGCGGACGCGGACGGTCGGCGCCTGCGCGGTGACGGCCATCACGAGAACGGCGGGCCTCGGCGCGGCGGCCGCCGGCGACGCCGCGCGAAAGTTGTTGGTCGCGCGGCCCGTCACGGGCAAGACGCACCAGATCCGCGTCGCGGCCAAGTCGCTCGGCGCGCCCCTGCTCGGCGACGACCTCTACGGCGGCGCGGCCGCGGACCGGCTCTACCTCCACGCGGCCGCGCTCGCGATAGACGACGCGGGCCTCGACGTGTCGACGCCGCCGCGGACCGGCGCGTCCTTCCTCTCGGAGCGGTTCACCGCGGCCTGGGCGTCGCTCGACTGGGCCGCGGAGCTCGCCGACGACCGCGTGCCCCGGTCCGCGCGGAGCTTACTCCCCTAGCCGAAGGCCTTCTTCTTGGCGGCCTTCTTGCCGCCGGACCGCTTGTTCGTGCCGAGCTTCGCGGGCTTCTTCTTCTTTTTGGCCTTCGCGCCGTCGTAGCGGATGTCCTTCCAGAACTCGAGGTCGTTGACGTGGCCCTTGGCGAGCGCGCCGCTCAGGTCGTCCTCCGTGTAGCCCCAGGGCGCCATGCCGAGCGAGAGCACGGTGAAGCGGTCCTTCGCCGCGAACAACGTCGCCAAGGCCTCGCGCTCCTCGAGCCGCAGCGCGGGATGCCAGCACTCGGACATGAGCACGAACCGGTCCTCGTCCGCGTCGTTGTAGACGTGGTGCGGGAACGTGTTGTCCAGCACCACGGGCGGCCCGTCCGTGGCGATGACGGCCTCCTCGCCGTCGACGAAGATGCCGCAGCCCTCCGGCGCCGTCACGGGCGTCAGCGTCGACAGCATGTAGTTCCGGCCGTCGCTGTGGACCGTGCCGCGCACGCCCGCCTTCTGCCGCGTGAACCCGACGAAGCGGTGCGCCGGGCCGAGGTCGCCCATGGCCTCGACGAGGGCTTTCGTGGTCTTGGGCGCCCAGCGCTTCGCGCCGCGCAGCGAAAGGAACTGCCAGCCGTACCAGGCCGCCAGCTGCCACGTCTCGTCTTCCGCGTCCGCCTCCGCCGCGTTCAGCGGGTCCCAGGCCGCCGGGTCCTCGACGACGGGCGCGCCCGGGTCGTCGGCGGCCAGGGGCTGGTGCGCCAGCACGGCCGCGAGCTCCGCCTTCGCCGCGGGCGCGACGTCCTCCGCCAACCGCTTTCGCATGTCCGCGAGCTCCGCGTAGGCCTCGGACGGGTAGGCGGACCGGTGCACGGACTCGTGGTCGAGGCCCGGGTAGACGTACTGGCTCAACACCTGCTGGTTGTTGTCGAGGAAGAGGTCGACGCCCGGCGGCTCGGTCCGCAAATTCTCGACGAAGCCCCGGAACCGGTCGAGCTTGGCATCCGTGCGCCAGCCGGGGATGGCGACGTCGATCTCCATCCAGAACGCCTCGCTCTTCCAGGCGCCCTCGTCGACGTCGTAGACCGTCTCCTGTTCCTTGAAGTAGGCGTCCTCGACGGCGGACGTCGGCGCCAGCGACCCGGACAGGTCCGGCGCGGGGAGGCTCACGGAGACGCCGCCGCCCATGGCGCTCAGGGACGCGCAGCTCGGGAGCAGGGCGACCAAGGCCATCGCGCTCAGGCTGGAGCGCGGGGGGGCGCGTGCAGAGCTCATCATCATGCGTCGGTGCGAACTGCTCGTTGCAACGTTGAAGTCGAAGCATGTCGGGTGCTGCACTGGGTGCTGCCCTCTGCGCGCGGCGTCGTCGATGAGCTGCATCACAGCGGCAGCGCGCGTCGATTGATTGCATGATGGATCGTGCATCATGACCGATTGATCGAAGATGGGCAGCGCGGCACCCCTTCAAATTTGTTGCATGTCGAGCAGTTCTACACGGTGAGCGAGTACGAGCGCGTGTACCAACCAGCGGGCTTTACAGCTGGGCGGGATGGCGGGCTGCGTCGCGCGCGTCGCGCTCGTCGCCGCCGCGGCCGTCGCGCTGAAAGGCACCAACGCCACGCGCAACGCGACGAAGCCACCGAAGCACGTCGTCCCCAGCTTGTACCGCAACGCCACGCTGCGCGGCCTGCCCTGGGCGCCCTACGCCGTCGCTTTAGTCGGCGGCTACCATTTCAGCGGCACGTCCGTCGTCGCGAAGCTCCTGGCGACGCAGCCCTGGGCTCTAGGTCTGGACGCGACGGGCTTCTGGGGCGAGCTGCCCGGCTGCGCGAAGAAGCACTGCTCGGCGCCCGAGGACGAGGGCGCGTTCCTGACGAAGGTGTTCCAGCCGACGCAGACGCGGTTCCTCGGCTGCGCGCACGCGGCGGACTGGACGAACTCGGGCCGCTGCGGCGCCGTCGTGCACGCCGCGGCGGAGAAGCTGGCCGCGACGGACCTCGCCGCCGCGCGCCGGGATCTCGCGCGCGACTGGACGCCCTTCTGGCGCGGCTGCGGCAACGCCACGCAGTACCTCGTCGCGAAGGACATCCTGACGCTCTATCGGGCGCCGCTGCTCCGGTCCATCTTCGGCGCGTCGCGCGCCGCCTTCGTCTACGTGCTGCGCCACCCGCTGGCGCACTACGTCGTGGCCGAGAAGGCGGGCCCGAGCTTCCACGCCGGGCGCTGCGCGACGGACTGGGGCGCGGACGAGTGGGCGCGGGAGCGCGTCCGCGCGTGGCTCGACGCGCACGACCTCTGCTTCCGCGACGCGCGGCGGTCGGAGCGCGCGGCCGCGTTCCAGCTCGAGCGGCTCCTCGCGGAGCCGCGCGCCGTGCTCGCGCGCGTCGCGCGCGTGCTCGCCTTCGACGCGCCGCGCGGCTTCGCCTACCACTACCTCGCCGGCCGCCGCCTGGGCCTCGAGCGGGGGTCCCTCGAGCGCGGCCTCGTGCAGCTCGCGGCCCACGCGCCCGCGAAGATATCGAAGCTGCCGGAGCTGAGGCAGCTCGAGCCCGACGACGTCTCGCGGCTCGCGGCCTACTGCTACGCGCCCGACGCGCTCGCCCCGGTCCGCGCCGGCGCCTGCGGCGACGCGCTCCTCGTCGACGTCCGGAAGCGGCCGCCCGCCGTCGACGGCGCCGCGCCGCGCTGCGGCTGGACCGCCACGAGGTACAAGAATCGGCCGCTGCCTCCGAAGATCGAGGCGAGGCGGGACGCCCGCACCCCGCCTCCTCCCAAGAAGCACGACGCGGCCGCGCACAAGACCAAGGCCTCCTTTCACATGGCCGCGGGCGGGGCCGGCGACGACCCCGGCCACGAGAACCGAGCGAGGGCGCGGCCGACGCTGAGCCCGAGGCACGGCAGCCGCGGCCCGGACGGACGGGCGATGGGCCACGGGCGCGCCGCGGCCGCCACCGGCGAGTCATAGGGGCCGTGGTGCGACGTTCGCGTCGTCGTCGTTCGTCTCGCTCTCGCCTCGTCACGACCCTCCCGACTCGCGGTGGACTCCCTTCGCGGTGTCCCGGTTACTCTACAACGGAGCGAGGTGCTTAGGGGGCGCCCGTGTGGCGTCGCCTAGAGCGCGGACAGGTCCACGTCGACCTCGTTCATCGTGAGCTGGTCGAGGGACGAGCGCTTGCGGATGAGGTGGAAGTTGCCGTCCTTGTCGTGGAGGACCTCGGGCGCGGAGGGGAACGAGTTGTAGCCCGCCGTGGACATGGCCGCGCAGTAGGCGCCGACGGACTCGACGACCATGAGGTCGCCGCGGTCCGCGGCCGCGAGGTCGCGCGACGCCAGCGTCTCCGGCTCGTCGGGCGCGGGCGTGAGGAGGTCGCCGCTCTCGCAGCAGTGGCCGACGACCACATAAGGCTTGTGCTCGTCGTTGAGCGTGCCGTCGCGCTTCACGACGACGAGGGGGTGCTGGGCCCCATACAACGACGGGCGGAGCACCTCCGTCATGCCGCAGTCCAATTTCAGGAAGTCGTTGCCGGCCTCGGAGCCCTTCGTCGACGTCACGTCCTGGATCGTCGTCACGAGCGCCCCGGCGTTGGCCACGAGGAACGTGCCCGGCTCGACCTCGAGCTTCAACTCGTCGCCCGTGCGCTCCGCGTAGGCCTCGAACTCCGCTTTCACCGGTTCGCCGACGACCGACAGGTCCGTCGACTGCTCGTAGGCCATGCGGCCGACCTTGTAGCCGCCGCCGAGGTTTAGGGTTTTCACCGTGCCTCCCAGGCGCTCGCAGAGGTCCAGCGACATGCGGCTCACGCGCTGCCAGACCGCCGCGTCGGACCCCGAGCCGATGTGCGTGTGCACGCGGACGACGTTCAAATCGTGCTTGCCCGCGATGGCCGCCACTTCATCAAAGTCCTCGTGCCAGATGCCGAAGGAGCTGGAAGGCCCGCCGACGTTCGTCTTCGACGTGCCCCCGGAGCCGACGCCCGGGTTGAAGCGCACGCCGACGTCCGCGCCCGGGAACGCCGCGCCGAAGGCCTCGAGCTGCGCGAGCGAGCACGCGTTCACCTTCAGGCCCTCCTTGACGAGATCGCCGAAATCATCATCCAACTGCTGCGTCGACAGCGAGATCTTCGACGCCGCGATGCCCGCCGCCAGCGCGCGCCGCACCTCGTAGACGGAAGACGCGTCGAAGTGGAGGCCCATCGACTCGAAGAGGCGCAGCACGGCGCCGTTGGGGCAGGCCTTCATGGCGTAGCGCACCGTGACGCCGAAGGCGTTGGGGAAGGCGAGGGCCTCCTCGGCGCGCGCGACGAGCGTCGGCGCGTCGTAGACGTAGCAGGGCGTGCCGAAGGCCTCCTTGCACTTGACGACGCCCGTCGGCGACAGGAAGCGCAGGCCATCGACGGCCATGGTCGTCGTCGCCGGGCGCGCGCGGCGCGCGGATCGCGGGAGCTGGAGGGCCGTCGCGGAGCCCAGCGCGAGCGCCAGTGCGGCCAGAGAAGAGGCACCCATGCTTGCACACTTCGGTGATCTCGGCGAGGCGCTGATTGGCTCACGCCCGTGGCACGCGCCGACAACGCCTCGATCGACGACGTCCCGCGCGACGACGACGACGACGCATCGGGCACGCCAGGCGCTTTGATGCTGCGTCTTGACCCCGTCCGCGCCCCCAACTTAGCGGAACGGGTCCCCGCCGCCGTCCGCGGGCGGCACGCCCGCGGCGCGCAAAGACGCGAGCCACGCGGCCGTGTCCTTGGCCGACGTGCCCGCGCAGACCTTGACGCCGTCGGGCGCCGCGACCGTGAACTTGCCCGCGCCCGCGGCCACGGACCCCAGGGAGCACGTCGCCAGCGGCTTCCCGTCGAGCGAGAAGAGCGGCAGCGTGCCGCCGGCCTTCGTCTCCGGCGCGCCGTCGAGCACGGCGTAGCGCAGCGCGCCGTCGACGAAGAGCGCCCCGGACCGCGACGCGTCGCCCCCGGGCGCGCCCGCGGGCGGCCGCGTGTCGCTCGTCGCGCCGTAGGACGCGCCGTAGGACGCCGCCGCCGCGCCGCGGAGGCGCCCCAGGGGCCCGCGCGCCTCCGGGCGCGCCTCGAGCGTGCCCCGGCGCTCCGGGGGGCCCAGCGCCCCCGCGACGGCCGGCGGCGGGCTCGGCCGCGCGGCCGGCTGCATCGCCTCCACGAGATTCGCCGAGTTCACGTCCTCGTAGGCGAACTGGGGCGCGAGGCGCCGCACGTAGACGGCGCAGAAGGCGACGAGGGTCACGAACACAAAGGTGATGAGCCCCGCCGTGAGGTGGGGGAACTTCATCCAGCCGAGCGCGATGCCCGAGAGGATTATAAAGAGGCAGCCGACCCAGAAGTAGCGCAGCGCGATGCGCCGCTCCTCGTACATGCCCCGCACGGCGTGGTGCATGGACCCCTCCGTGCCCCGGATCGCCAGCTCCGGCCCGAAGATCATGCAGAACGACGCTAAAATCACCGCGAGCAGGTTGCACGCGGTGCCCGCGGCCGCGCAGCCGTAGAACAGCGTCAGCGGCGACAGGATCTTCTCGTAGGGCCCGTCGCAGCCCACGAGCTCCGAGCAGTACTGGCCCCCCTCCTTCTCCAGGAACCCGATCTCCATGTTCAACGCCCCGAAGCCCAGCGAGCTCATGAACGTCGCTGAGCTCGCGAGGACCGCGAACTGGTCCGTGAAGAGGGACACCTCCTTCTGGCGGATGTTCAGCACCGTCTGCTTCAGCTTCGTCTCCAGCTCCCGCGTGTCCGCCTGGATCATCTCCGCGACGCGCCCCGCGCCGCGACCGCCGTCCACCAGAATCGGGCAAAGCAGCAGCCCCGGTGCACCGTAAAGTTCAACAACGGGTGCTCGGCATGGACCCATGAGGCGCGGGCAGCTCGCGCGCTACGCGCTGCTCGCCCTGCGCGCCGCGGCGGACTGCAACTTCGCCACCGTCGTCCACGTGCACCGCTGGACGGCGACCTTGAGCGCCCGCCTCCTCGACGCGCGCGACTCGCTGCGGCGCCGCGGCTGCCGCCTCATCGTCGTCACGTCCGGCTTCGCTCTGAGCCTCGACGGCGTGACCTGCGTCGACGGCACGGAGACGCGGGCCGCGGCCCGGGCCTTCCCGTCGCTGTCGGGGTCGCTGCACCGCAAGGCCTTCGCGGGCTGGAAGGGCGACCGCGGCCTCGTGCTCGCGTACGCGGCGGAGCGCGCCGTGGCGGGCGCCTGGGCGGCGACGACCCTCGAGCCCTACTTCTGGAATTTGGAGGCCGACGTCGCCTGGAAGGGCGACCTCTACGAGGCGCTGGCGGACTGGAACGACCGGGCCGAGGACCTGCTCTGCATCGACCTCACGCGGTCGACGTACGACTGGGCGCACCTCCGGTCCCACGACCCGGGCGACTGGCTCCGCGACGAGGACAAGCACAACTGCCTCATGACCGCCGCGCGCGCGTCGACGCGGCTCCTGGAGCGCGTCGCGGCCGTCGCCGCGGTCCCGGGCCGCCGCGCGTACCTCGAGCTGCGCTTCGCGAGCGAGTGCGCGCGCCACCGGCGCCTGCACGGCAACTGCACCATGCGCGAGCTCTGGGACGCGCCGGACCGCGCCGCGCGGCGGCGCGGCGCGCTCTTCACGTGGACGGGCAGCCGGCGGCACCGCCGCGTGTCGCCGCCGGCGCGCTTCGCCGAGCTCTGGGCGGCCGCGCCCAACGGCACGCTCTGGCACCCCGTCAAGGACGCCGGGGCCTGGAGCCTCGACGCGCCGCACGCGGCGGTGAAGTAACTCTTGGGACGCCTTTTGGGTCGATGATGCTGTTCAGGTTGCACTTCTCGTGACTCTGAGTGGCACCAGGGCTCGAGATCGTGAAGTGCGTCGAGCCGCTGCCGCTGCGCGTGTGCCTCCGCCGTTGCAACGCGCCGCCGCGCGACAGCGACGCCTGACATCAGTCGCGCGCGCGTCCACCGCAGCGCAGCGGCGCGCCGGCGCGTTCGCCGGAGCTCCTCGCGAAAGCGCAGATCGCACAAAGCATGGGCGCGTCGCAGAGCGAGGAGTGCGAGATCCCCTGGTTCGTCCAGTGCGACGGCCACTACATCGCGCGGGAGGGCTCGAAGTCGCCGCACGGCTGGCTCCGCCTCGAGGGCCACGGCTCCGTGTCCGCTCGGCCGTCCGAGCAGCGGGACGAGACGACGTTCGGGACCTGGAGGGTGCGGGACGAGCGGACCGTGGAGCTCGTCATCGCGGGCGTCACGTACGTCATGACGGCCGTCGACGACGTGCACAACACGGTCCACATCGCCGCGCCCGGCGACGCCGCGCCGGACACGTTCGCCTTCATCGACGAGGAGGGCGTCTTCGCGAATCGATAGCGCCCGGGCTTCTTTAGTTTGTGGTGTTGTGGGTTCGTGTCGGTGGGTCCACCGGAAAAGGGGTTGCCTGAGCGAAGCGCCAGCGTCGTCGAGCGTCGTCGACCCCTGGCGCTCCTCGGCTGGCCTGGAATCCGGCATGGCCGCCTCAAAGATGTGCTCCGTCCTGGCACTGCTGGTGCTCCACTGCGGCCTCCAGGGCGCCGTCGCTTTCCGCGCGCCGCTCGCCCGGCGACCGCTCACGGCGAGACACGCCACGGGCGAGGAGGACCTCGCGCGCCTGCGCGAGGAGATCGCCGAGCTCGAAAAGGATCTCCAGATAAAAAAGCCGCCGCCGCCGCCCGTCGACGCGCCGAAGCCGGAGCGGCGGCGCCCGGCCGGCGGCGCGGCCATCGTCGACGGCCGCGTCCGCGTCGACAGCGTCGTCGCGAAGCTCGACGCGGCGCTGCTGCCCGCCGGCGTCGACGCGGACGCCGAGAAGTCCAAGTTCGCGGAGTTCTGCCTCTTCGACGCCATGACGGGCGAGGGCCTCAAGCACGTCGAGCTCGGCGGCCTCCGCGCCGTGACCGTCGACGGCTCCGAGGAGCTCATCCTCCTGCTCAGCGGCCTCGAGGACGTGAGCCCCGGCGACGACGTTTCGGTCAGTGAGCTCAAGGCCGAGACGGACAAGTTCGTGGCGACGCTGTCCAAGTACGCCGGCGAGGGGGACGCGGACGCCGTCTGGGAGAAGGTCGGGGCGGCCTACGAGGACGACGGCTCCGACGGCGGCGGCGGCGGCGACGACGCCGCCGACGGCGACGGCGACGAGGTCTTCGGCATCGACCTGAGCGACGCGGCGACGCTGACGCCCCAGGTGCTGAGCTACCGCGTCGGCGAGCGCTTCGCCGAGTCCGCCGCGGACCACTGGCGCGACTGGTGCGCGGTCGCGACCGCGCGCGAGGCGCGGCGCGCGCCGTCGGGCGAGCTCCTCACGACGGGCGAGGCCGCGCTCTACGGCGCGGCGCTCGAGAAGCTGCGGGGCCGCATCGACTTCGACGCCGTGTCGTCGGCGGCCTTCGCCGCCGAGGTCGCCGCGAACGCGACGTCCAACGACGAGACGTTCGCGCAGTCCGTCGGCCTCTTCGAGTTCGCCTTCCGCGCCGCGCTCAAGCGCGCGGCCGCGGTGCCGCCGGGCGACCGCACGGCCGCGGACCTCGAGGCCGTGTGGACCAGGGCAGCACACGAGAGCGAAATTCCCAACTTCAAAGGCGCCGATCTCGGCCATTTTCCACTCGTTTCGGCTGATTTTTGGACGAGCGATCATCTCTCGGAACGGTCTCGAAGCGTGCATGCTTTTTCCGTGAACGCGCGCGCGCGGAACACTCACGTTGAAGCGACGTCGAATCCCTCTTGTGCTGCCCAGGTGTGGACGGCGCTCAACGTCGCGACGCTGCGCACGGCGCAGCGGGCCGAGCTCGTCCGCGACGTCGCGGGCTACTTCTTCAACGCCGTGACGGCGTCGCCCGCGTCCGAGCTCGTGCTCGACAAGCTCAAGAACTTCAACCTCGTGCCCGACGACGAGACGGACCCGGAGAAGCTCCGCGACGCCTTCGTCGACCGCGCGGCGACGGCCTTCGCGGGCGCCGTCGCCGTCTTCAACGTCCTCGCGGGGCTCCTGAGCTTCGCGCTGCTCTACGGCGTCTTCTCCCTCGTCATCGAGCCGCTCTTCGGCTTCCTCGGCGACGCCGCGAGCGGCGCGCTCGACCCGGCCGCGCCGCGCGACACGATCACGGACTTCTTCGCCCAGAGGCCCTAAAGGCGCGTTGTTGCGGCGACGGGGGCCTCGCGCCGTCCCGGGCGCGGCCCCGGCGGGAGACGCTGCGCTCGCCGAGGGCGAAGTTCTCGTCGCGCGTTACGGGGACGGGCGCGGCGCCGTCGCCTCGCGCGTTCGGTCACTCGTGCCCCGGGGTCGGGAAGACGGGGATGGTCGGGTCTTCGAGCCACGCGCTGTAGGAGTAGTCGCACGCGCGGTGGCAGATGCCGGCGGACGCCATGCAGCAGCCGCCTCCTCCGCACGAGTTGGACTGGCACTGGTACTCGTAGTCGTCGCCGTGGTTCGACCGCAGCAGCCCCACGGGGCGTTGCACGCGGCCACGCACGCCGCGTGATCGTCCGAGCCTTCCGCGGTGAGGCACCCGTGGTACCAGGCCTTCTTTTGGAAATGAATTTCTGAATCACACCTGCACTTCTCGCCGCAGTAGTTTCTGTTGTTTGCTTCGCTCCACAGTTGCCCACCCATCAAGTTGCAGTTCGGCTCTAACTACGCACGGCTCTTGCTGACATCTACTCCAAGGCGTCCCCAGGGAGCCGTCGGGCACCCGCATGCACTTGTGGTAGGGCGTCCGGCACGTGGCCAGCAGCGTCTGCTCGACGTAGCCGTCGAGGCAGGTCGGTTCATCCACGCAGCCCACCGCGTCGAGGTAGTGCTGCTCGCTCGTCCCCAGCGCGTTGAAGATCTCCGTATAGCGCTTGCCCCTGTTTTTGTTTTGGTAGATCGGGACGCCGACGATGGTCGTCGAGTAGTAAGCCTTCGCGTTGAAGCGCCCGGCGACGTGGATGGCGCACACGCAGTCGTCCCCCCTCGAGCGCTCGCCGCTTTTTTCGTTGCAGTCCCGGTCTCTGTCGAAGGGTTCCCCGTTGGCCGCGCAAATCGTCGCGTCGCACTCGTTGTTGACCGCGCACGCCTCGAGGCACGGCAGGTCGTCCATGTCCGTGAATGGCACGCCGTCCTCGAAAGAGTCCCACGGGGACCTGCAGGCGCTCGAGGCGGTGTGCGGCGCGCCGTCCGTGATCAAGATGTGCGTCTTCGTCGTCGAATCCTTATCGTGGAGCCACTCGTCGGCCTTCATGTACCCCGCGGGATGATTCGTCTTCGCCTGCCTGACGGTCTCGTACGAGAGGCCGATCATCGCGGTCTCGAACGTGGGCGCGTTGGACGGCTTGGCCGACGGCTTGGCCGTGGGCGCGTCGGAAGGCTTGGCCGTGGGTGCGTCGGACGGCTTGGCTGTGGGAGCACGGGACGGCTTGGCCGTGGGGGCGTCAGACGGCTTGGCCGTGGGTGCGTCGGACGGCTTGGCCGTGGGCGCTTCGGACGGCTTGGCCGTGGGCGCGTCGGAAGGCTTGGCCGTGGGTGCGTCGGACGGCTTCGCCGTGGGCGCTTCGGATGGCTTCGCCGTAGGCGCAGCCGTGGGCGACGTCGTCGGAGACTTCGTCGGGCGCGGCGTCACCGGCGCCGCCGTCGGATTTCCCGGCTCGACCGTCGGCGAACCCGTTGGCGTACCAGACGGCGGCGCGCTGGACGGCGAGGCCGTCGGCGCGCCGGAGGGTGAGCCCGTCGGCGCGCCGGAGGGCGCACTAGATGGCGAGGCCGTCGGCGCGCCGGAGGGTGAGCCCGTCGGCGCGCGGGACGGCGAGCTCGTGGGAGCGCGCGAGGGCGAAGGCGTCGGTCCCGGCGTCGGTCCCGGCGTCGGCGACGGCGTCGGCCCCGGCGTCGGCGCCGTCGACGGCCCCGGCGTCCGGGGGGTCGGCGCGGACGTCGGCGCGGGCGACACCTGGACGTCGACGGAGTCGGCGGAGCACGCGTTGTCGGCGCANGACAGCGTGAGCGTGTAGGCTCCCGCGGCGGCCCCCGTCAGGAGCCGAAGGTCCCGGCCGTCGTTGTCCA